ACTCATATTCCAATAAGCCTATACCCATCATATGTGCTCAAACACTCACTTTGGTTGTGCTGTGCTCCCTACATCCACATTCAGCAAAAATAACAAGTCTCAACGATCTAATGTGTACTTTCCTCTCCCTGCTCTTCTCCTTGGTAACCACCAGCGAGCATTGGTCTCTCTATACGCATATATATCTATTCTTGTCTTCTTATAAAAGAGGCGTCATGTACTATCTGTCCTTATATGTTGGATTTATTTCACTTAGCGTTATGCCCTTCAGGCCTATCCATGTTAAGTGTTTTATGGACTCCTCATTCTTATGGTTGTCTAGTATTCTGTTGTATGTATGTGTCACAATTTGTTTATTCATTCTTCCCTTGATGGACTCATCCCTTGTTTTCTTTATTTGCTAATGTGATTAAAGCAGCAATTAACATAGCCATGCATATGTTGATTTGTGTCATTATTTTTAGGTCTCTAAGGAGCTCTGGTATGGCACTGTGGGTTAATGTGCCAGACTGCAAAGCTGTTTGAACTGCAAGGTTAGTGGTTCAAGCTTACCAGCTGCTCCTCGGAAACCCTATGCAGGGTCGTTATGGGTCAGAATCAACTTGATGGCACTTAACAAAAACAAGGAGCTCTGGTAGCATTGTTGTTGTTATGTGCCGTGGAGTCGGTTCCGACTCATAGCGACCCTGTACAGGGTTTCCGAGGCTGTAAATCTTTATGGGAGCAGAAAGCCTCATCTTTCTCCTGTGGAACAGCTGGTAGTTTCGAACTGCTGACCTTAAGGTTCGCAGCCTGATTCGTAACCACAGCAGTTCAAACCCACCAGCCACTCCTCAAAAACCCTATACAGGATCGCTATGGGTCAGAACCGACTCGACAGCACTTAACAACAACTGTGGAAAACAGTATGGCGCATCCCTAAAAAGATGGAAATAGAAATATATGATCTAGAAATCCTACTACTGGGTACAGATCCTAGGTAAGTCAAAGCTGTGACATGAATAGATATATGCACACTCATGTTCATCACAGCACTAGTCACAGTAGCAAAAAGATGGAGACAATCTAAACAGAAGAATGGATAATCGCACTTTGGTACATACACACCAAGAATGATGAATCTACAAAACACCTTATAACCTGGATGAACCTGGAGGATATTGTTGTTGTTGTGACGTGACGTCAAGTTGGTTCCGACTCATAGCAACCCTATATAGGGTTTCCAAGGAGCAGCTGGTGAGCTTGAACTGCTGACCTTGCAGTTCAAACAGCTTTGCAGTCTGGCACATTAACCCACAGCGCCACACCAGGATTCTTGAGGACATTGTTGCTGTTAAGTGCCATCGAGCCGATTCTGACACACAGCGATCCTGTATAGGGTTTCCGAGGAGCAGCTGGTGAGCTTGAACCACCGACCTTGCAATTCAAACAGCTTTTGCAGTCTGGCGCATTAACCCACAGCGCCACTAGGCTAAGTGCAATAAGTCGATCACAAAAGGTTAACTATTATATAAGACCGCTATTATAAAAAGTCAAGAAAAGGTTTTCACACAAAAAGAAAACAAAAGCCTGGTGAGCTCATTCTGAAAAAGGGAAACATGCTCAGGAATATGGTACAGGTTGAAGGACTGTTGTTGTTGTTGTTAAGTGCCGTCGAGTCGGTTCCGACCCATAGCGACCCTGTACAGGGTTTGAGGGTGTAAATCCTTACGGGAGTAGAAAGCCTCATCTTTCTCCCGCGGAGCGGCTGGTAGTTTCGAACCGCTGACCGTAAGGTTCGCAGCCCGATTCATAACCACTACGCTACCAGAGCTCCTAGGTTGAAGGACTATGTCTGAATGTCTGAAGAATCAGAGTGATGGCGGTTTATATGGCAGCTTTCCAGAGGGAGGAGTACAGAGGTGGGGTGTCTTGGTGTGCAGTTGCAGGCTTTGTACAGACTGTGCCCCTCAACCCCCAAGATTTAAGGGACTGCAAAGAAGAGGATGGAGAAGAAAAGACTCTAGATGAGAGAAGTCACGGGGAGTTGGAGAAAGGGCCAAAGATGAGCAGCCTTCCAAAAGTTCACGGTAAATGGAATTAAAAGATGATGAGAAGTTTCCATGAATTTTTGGAAGCCTCTTCGTATATGTGTGTGCAGGTTACTCTCCCAAGAAGGCCCTCCTCCCTGGGGAATTTCACCTGCATCAGGACAGTAGTAACTAAGCTGTGATGGGTGAGAAATTCAAGAACCTGATTACCAAGGTGGAACTTGGCGTCTCCGCTGAACACAGATCAAGACAAAGAGAGGAGCCATGGAGATCCTTAAGCCAGACCAGGATTCCCAGCTGTCTGGACTGGTCTGAAGATTTTTCTATCAACAACAGACTCTTGGCCACCAGAGGGCATCACCACCTCATAGTGCCTTATTCTGAGTTCTCCATCAACTCCCTACAGAAACTGGAGTGAGTAGGGAGGAGGAAGAAAAGCATGGGTCTCTGAGCTCTGTCAGGGGAGGCATGGGAAGGGGTTGCTAAGAGATGCTGAATTAAACAGCACAGGTAAGAAAACACCCAGTCTGTCAGGAGACCTGGATTCTAGCACCTCGTCTGCCACTGCCTTTCCCTCCCTGGTCTCCATCATCGGATAAGAGCTTGGTTCACATGCTGTCCAAGACCCTTCCTTCCTAACTCTGAAACTCCAGGATCTGAGGAAATCATGCCATGATCCTGACAGAAAATGCAGCTCTTGGCCAACCCCCATCTAGGGGTCTCTAGGGCTTTCTGCCAGACAGGAGGAAGGACTCCACAAAGTGTGAACTTCAGGTCTGGGGTGGTATGCTCTCACTTGGAGACTGAGCTCTATAAACGGGGGGAAACTACTACGCCCCCATGTCCACCTGAAGAGAAACAATTCCAGGGTTGTTGGACACAGGTACCTGTGTCATCGCTTCTCCAGGTGTCAGGCAGGATGCGCCCTCAGGAAATGGAGAGAATAGAACTCATTGCTTCCCCTCGCCTCCCCACCCCCACCCCACCCCAGATGCCGTCTGTTAGGAATAGGCAACACATTCCAGGGGTCCATCTGTGTTAATGCTTCACAATACAGCCCATGTTTCCCCACCGCCACCCCCTCAGTCCCTGAGCTGATGGCCACTTAGTGATGCCAAGGTGCAAGGAGGGACAGGAAGGCACAAGGGAGCTTGGCTCTTGGCTACTTGAAGTTCCCAGTGCACCCCCTCCTCTCCATTGAACAAGCATCCAGCCATCTGGACATGTGCAATTTCTGAGGGGTGAAGAAGGAGCTCCCATTCATACTGCTACAGGGCTTGGGGGCTTAGGCCCTGGGATTGGGGAAGAGGCAGACCTGTGAACTGAGAGGGACAGGAGACAGGAAGCCCCTTTGTGCTCTCCATGCCAGGTGGCTAACAGCACATGTCCCATGAACCCCTCAGGCCAAAACAAGAGCTTCTGTAACCCCTGTGTCTAGCCAGCACTGGCACAGAACAGGGCTTAAATGCGGATGAAGAAGTGGAAGACAACATGATGTCTAAGAGGTCTAGACTTCAGGCTTGGGAGCCAGGCTGCCTCAGTTTAACTCCAAGTCCTGCTACTGAGTAGCCTAGACCAAGTTACTTAATTTCTCTGGGCCTCAATTTGCAATCTGTAAAGGATGCTAACAGCACCTACTTCGTAGGGCTGTTATGTGGACGAAATGAGTTACTACATGCATGTAAAGCATATACCAAACAGTGTGCATGGCACACGGTAAGTGCTGAATAAATGTTAGCTATAATGGCATGACACAGACTTAAGAAGATTGGAGAAGGAAGGGAAGATGAGGACAGTGCATCCCCATGATTAGTGGCCAAGGTCAGAATGTGGTAGCTTCACTTGTAGTGCTGACACCCTGTGGAGTCTGACTGCTCTTCAGACGCCAGGCGTGGCTTTCTATTTCCTCCTTTCAGTTCTTATTCTGGTTCCACTGACCACAGAGATTTTGTCTGGACCATCCCCGCCTTTCCTACTACCTGGCAACCCCAGTAACATAGTCCTGAGATGGTTCCGAAACAGGGTCAGGGAATGAATGAATGGCCAAGGCTACTCAGCTCAGGTACATTTCCACTCTATAGCCAACCCCACAGTAAAGACCTGTCGGCTGGGAACTGGGAATCTCAGCTCCAACTTTGGGAGCTGAGGAGAGATTTACTCACAAGGGGTCACTCCTGATCCTCTGAGGGATTCGTTGTGGGACAGACCAGAATTAAACCTCTGACTTTCTGACTTCCCTTTCCACCAGACACCAGATGGGGAGGCAGCCAGTCTCGAATCTCCTCCAGAAACCCCGGGCCTCGCACTCCTGGGGGTTTCTGCGCTCCTTTTAGGGTCCTGGCTCCTTCCTCCTTCAGGGACCTCACCCCACAGCTCTGTGCCCACACCCCTCCCTTGCACAGCGCCACAGTCTGTCTCCCCTTGCCTTGAATCTTCCTCCGGGGTCCCTAGCCCCGTCATAAAAGCAACCTACCCCCAATTTCAAATCTCAGGCACAGGTTCCCTCACTGGCTTTCCCCCCACCCCC